AAAAAAAAAAAAAACAAAAAAAACCCAAGACCAAAGGGGGAGGCAAATGAACCGTGTTCTCATAAGATAACTCAAATTTGATATACAGTGTCATTTCAGGACATGTAAGCGAGCAAATCCAAGCAACTCTGACTTGGAGAAGTTAGCTTTAGGATACTCTTTGAGCTAAAAGGGTGCGAAATGCGATGTTTTTAAAAAAAAAAATCAGGACACCTTTTTGGGCTCCCTTACCCTCACACCGGGTTACCCTCTACCCCCTCCCCCCCCCCCCCCCCCCCCCGGTCTCCAGGTGATGTTCTGTATCCGCCCTTAAATGCACAAGGGCTTAACATTCTGTATTTCGCTCATTCGCACATGAACGCCGCATGGCTGACGTTAAATCTCGTCGATATGCCATGTCGTTTCCTCTCTCTCTCTCTCTCTCTCTCTCTCTCTCTCTCTCTCTCTCTCTCTCTCTCTCTCTCTCTCTCTCTCTCTCTCTCTCTCTCTCTCTCTCTCTCTCTCTCTCTCTCTCTCTCTCTCTCTCTCTCTCTTCTCTCTCTCTCTCTCTCTCTCTCTCTCTCTCTCTCTCTCTCTCTCTCTCTCTCTCTCTCTCTCTCTCTCTCTCTCTCTCTCTCTCTCTCTCTCTCTCTCTCTCTCTCTCTCTCTCTCTCTCTCTCTCTCTCTCTCTCTCTCTCTCTCTCTCTCTCTCTCTCTCTCTCTCTCTCTCTCTCTCTCTCTCTCTCTCTCTCTCTCTCTCTCTCTCTCTCTCTCTCTCTCTCTCTCTCTCTCTCTCTCTCTCTCTCTCTCTCTCTCTCTCTCTCTCTCTCTCTCTCTCTCTCTCTCTCTCTCTCTCTCTCTCTCTCTCTCTCTCTCTCTCTCTCTCTCTCTCTCTCTCTCTCTCTCTCTCTCTCTCTCTCTCTCTCTCTCTCTCTCTCTCTCTCTCTCTCTCTCTCTCTCTCTCTCTCTCTCTCTCTCTCTCTCTCTCTCTCTCTCTCTCACTCTCTCTCTCTCTCCCTGTCTCTCTCTCTCCCTGTCTCTCTCTCTCCCTCTCTCTCTCTCTCCCTGTCTCTCTCATTCCCTCTCTCCTCCCTCCCCCTCCCTCCCTCCCTCGCTCCTTTCCTCCCTACTTCGCCCTCCAACCACTCTAGGGCGTGGATGTGAATCGGCTTTATCTGTCATGCTGCCACGCATTTACACGTTAGTAGCAGTGCGCTAAGAGGGCCTTCTGTTCGGTGAACCATTCACTGTGGACACCTGCTGATTGCCTGTTGTGATGGAACACTTGTGTCTGGATCTCTTTAACTCCATAATGATGTCTGGTAATCGGCTATTGCTGCTGACAAATGCCACCGACATACGGACACGCTACCCACTATGGGACACGCATGAAAGCATCAGTGCGAGGTCGCTTTTTTAAAGATAAGCTTTGTTTGCGAAGGCTTTCGTCACCGATGCATCTTCTCTTGCCTGTATAGATAGTAGAAAATGTGGTCAGCACACTTTGGCTTCGGCTCACGCATGGTGACTTCCCGCCGTCGTCAGGCACGTGGTCGAAGAAGGCAGCGGCGGAGGCCGGCCGTTTCCTGGACGTGCAGGCGGTGCTGCCTGCCGCGGACCGCTTCCTCGGTATCGCTCCGGCTGCGCAGTGGAAGCTACGGCCGGACGCCGACTACGTCTACTACTGCGACAACGAGACGGTGGAGGGTGCGTCGCCGGTCCCGTGGACGGCACGGAGGAGGTTGGCGGGAGGATAGAGGGAGGAAGGGGGGGGGGGGGGGGGGGAGTGATTGGCGTCGGCGTAGTGCAGAGACCGAGCAAAGGAAGTGGAGTTGCCAAATACTCTCCGTTTCTCAATTTTGCTACGAGGTTGAAGATAGTTACATCTGGTCCATGCGTGTCTATTCTTAAAATGATCGGGGAGGCCAGATTCGTGGAAGTCGTCATAAAGGAACAGGTCCATGGACCTCGCGGATTTCCAACCTGATCTTCTGGCCATCCAGTACGTGTACGCATATATATATATATATATATATATATATATATATATATATATATATATATATATATATATATATTTGTGTGTGTATTATACTTACATATAATTCTAAAGCTCATGCATGTAGCTACAGCAATCAGACATGGAAGCCTTGCAGATTGCATCGCCTCCTTATAAAGGTACCTGTTTTGTAAAGCTGAAGAGGTGCAGTTACAGCTTTCTCTGGCATACGGGAAGATTAAATTTGCGCATAAGTGACCAATAAGTGTTTGAGTAATTTATTGTGCATCTATTCATTCACTCACAGCTATCGAGTGCCCAGTGTCCACAATATGTGTGGCTATCACAGCCGATTCATACGCAGATTCTCGACAGACCAAATTTTTACCGATTAGAGATATGCATTTAGCGCATATTAATGTTAACGAATTCATGTTAATTACTGTTAATGTTAATAACCCGCATAACTTCAGAACATTGTCTTCAATCTTTCCCCAAATGTGCTTAGGCAGATACATTCCTGTCGATAATCCTTTTTTACTCGCTATTTTCAATAAACATGGATTGCGAGCCAGCTTCACCTATGTATGGGGGAACACTGTTCCAAGCTGTTGTGCCTTTGAAAAGAAAGCGACCCTCACTCGTTTCACTTCGAGCTTGTGGAAAATGCAACACCCGTCATATCAAGATCGCTCGCGATGCACTCTGAATATAACAGCGTTGCTTGTTGAGCTGGCTCTTCAGTTACCATGCGATTATATTTACATACGCATACTCGGTGCTCAATAAGCTTACACAGGCAGGAGCGCAGCCAGAGTCTTGGTTCTTGGGGGGGGGGGGGGGGGAGCACAGGGTTGGCCAAGGCCTGGTGAAAGGCCCACACCCATAAAAAGTGACCGGATATGGCCCACCTGATTTCGACGGCAGCCCTGCCCTTCTTAAAAGCCAGAAAGCATCATAAGATTCAGTTGCGCTTGTATTTCTACATCAATAAACGAAAGAAAATGGGGCGTTAAATCGCTGCATTTAATAAATTACTGTCGCATTTTATTTTACAACGTTTCGATGGACTCTTTCTAAGCCGATAGCACCTAGGAGCTGTGCTGAAATTTGTATGTGTTGTACACGGACATTGTAAACGTAGATCTTAGATCGACATGAAATCGTAAATTCGCATTCACATCAACCTGTTTTGATCGCAGAATTACCATATTTGCTTAGAACAGAGGCGTGGAAAAATTACATAACACAGTTTCGGCCATGCATACTCGCAAGTCTCACAACAAAAACCCTGACGCCCGGCGTTGCTGTCACCATAGGCGACGCAGCGTCGGTCCTGCGTTTAACACTAGGCGGTGGCCAGTGAGCGGGGAAAGCGACGTTTCTGAGGAAAGTGCCTTCAAACGCCTTCAATATTAATTGGAACGCTAAGGAAGTGTTCCAAACTGGAAAAGGGACGGACAGGCGCGTTGGGAAAAGTGTGGCCCAATGTTTGTGGTCGGTCGCGCGCACCCGAGGCTAACATTGGACCGGTTCATTTTGGAGCCTTCACAGGGATTGGTGACGAACCTCGTTAACCAGTCCAGATCTGGCTGTGAAATAAACTGCATCGCTTACCGAAATACAACCGTCGGAAAATTAGTCGGCAATCTGAACCCTGTCCGACTCATAGTGACTAGAAATCGACTGGGAATTGAGGGATCGTCTTTTTCAAAAACCGGCCCCGGAACTAGTTTTCGTGGCCTAAGCCAAGAGACTGGGCTGTGGTCCATGGCTTTTGACATGCGTATGGCTCGTTTCCTGAACACCGATATCACTCGCAACGTTTTGCTCTCTACAATAAGTTTTTCACAGGAACCCCTGCAAATTCATCGGTGGTGTTGCGGAAGTGCCCAGATTTGCCAAGGCCTGCCGATTTACACCCAACCGATTTTCAAACAATAATATTTGTGAATTTACACACACATCGTGCCTTAGAAAACCCGATTTCCTGCACTTGGGTAAATTTGGTTATCTGCTGAGCTCTCATGCAAGACGGTCATTGCAATGCATTGATGAGGATGACCCATATAGATTTTAAAGTCATCACTTATGTGGGCCTTCGTGTCATCTAGATGAACGTCTGCTATCATGCTATTCTTCATACGTGGCCCAAAGCGTCCAAACGTTTTATGTACGTTTCGAGTAACCCATAACGGTCTGTTGCAGGAGTGGAGTTCCCCAACGTTCCTGGCACAGGCAACGTCCCCCTTGTCGCTGACATGTCGTCCAACATCCTCACGCGACCAGTAGATGTCAGCAAGGTGGGCACAAGACACCTCGAACACTTCCTCTCTATGCAAAAACGTCATATCAGCCCTGAGCCGACTCATCTGTGGATAAGCCAGTGCCAAAATACTCTCATGCATCCAGCTAGATTACGTCTTCTACAGTGTTCAACGTTCACCGGCATCTCACTCAGACTGTTTCCACTTTCTTTGGACATTTTGTTTTCAGTTCCCGTCATTGAGTCGCTGCGTTCATTTCGGGTCAATGATTCAGTCATTTTATTCAATGATTAATTCATTTTAAATCGATGAGTCATACCATTTGATTCAATTGTTCATATATATTGCAACTTATTCTACATTAGTTCAATGCACAGAAAACGATGTCGTAGCCCGAGCTCAGGAAAACACCGCATCCAAATGACATATCATGGGCATTCACTTCGCGCGCTGTTTTAGTTTGGCGTCATTTTCGCGGGCGCACAGAAGAACATGGGCCCGGCCGGGACGACGGTTGTGATAGTGCGTGACGACCTACTGAGCCGCGGCCTCAAGATGTGCCCTTCCGTGCTGAGCTACAGCGCCATGGCCAAGGCTGGCTCTCTGCTCAATACTCCGCCCTGCTTCAAGTGAGTGTTTGTGCACGCGCTGGTCAATCGGTATCTGCCGCCGAAAACTGGATTCGGTCGGAACGAACCGGTTATATAAAACAGAATGTCGACGGCGTGATGTGTGGTGGTCACCGACAGGCCTTGACACAGAGTACGGATTCGTCGAAATAGCAGAGGGAATGCTCGGCACGGGCAGCTGATATGTCTGGTGTCAACACACCGGAAAGGCAATCTGCGGACTGTTTGGGAGGCGCGGCCAAACAGCTGTACCAAGGACAAACGGCCGACGATGGAGAACCGGCAGTGTGACAGCACGCTTGCATTAGTCACATTTTGATTAAGATCGGGGACGTTATTTCACAAAATGGGTTGGGGGGGGGGGGCGGCCATTGGTGAGAAATGACCCAACCTACCCTCAGAACATGCCAAAAGCAGATTTCTCCTCAGATTTTGCCCACTTTCTATTCAATGTGGGATGGGGGGGGGGGGGGGCGGGCTGCAGCCCAAGCTGAATAGGGGCGGGTGGGGATTGGGGGCGGGGTCAACTTTATACGGAACTACACCTCTGGCTCAGATGGAATGAAAACGACGTTTTCTGTAAATTTATTTACATTTTTTTATAATCCAGATGTTGATAAACGCTAGTCAGCATCTCATTTATTCTGTACATGTGGGCACCTTCTGGTACCACACTGGTGCCTCCAATGTGCTTATTGTTTTTCGTATCAGTGCTTTTGTACTTTTTGGCGATAATCGCTTCTTATCTTAATTACAGGTAGCTTTTTCCTGCAGTCTCGACCATGCACCTTTGGGGCAATACAAAAAAAAAACGGTTTCCGACATTTCATAGGCTGTGAGTGTTCGTTTAAACAGCACATTATTCCAGCATATATGTGACCGGTAAGGTGCTGGAGTGGGTGGAAGAGCAAGGAGGGGTGTCGGAGATGACCCTGAGGAGCGACATCAAATCCAAGCTGGTCTACAATACTGCAGACTCTTCCGACGTGAGTCACTCTGCCTCGTGTCATCATCGCGTGCGGTGGGTGGTTCGTAACGTCCACAGAGGGACGTATCAGACGGGTGCGTGCCTGCCTGAAATGTTACCTTTCCGCGTGTTTTTATGATGCAAAGCTTTTCACTTCTAATTACAGAAACGTTTTACTGGCCATATGAACAGGGGAATTGGCGCGTCCAAATCATCATCATCGTCAATCTCAACGATTTGTTTGCACCAAGACCACCACTCTTGAAGATGTGCATTTTCGGATTTTTCAGCGCCGCTCGTGTCTGCCAGGGCCTCTTCAGTCGCTGTCGTGTGGCTGACTTTTCGGTCCGTGCTTGTCAGGGCTTCCACAGTCGCTGTCATATAGCTGGTGTCCAGGTCTGTGCCTGCCAGGGCTTCTACAGCCACTGTCATATACCTGGTGTTCCGGTCCGTCTGCCGGGGCTTCTACAGACATTGTCATGTACCTGACGCCCCGTTCCGTATCTGTGGAGCCTCTACGGACCTTATCATGTGCTTGGTGTCCCGGTCCGTGTTTGTCGGGGCTTCTACTGTCGCTGTGTGAGGCTCACGCCTGGTCCGTGTCTGTCAGGAATTCTACCTGGCGCCAGTGGCGGTGGATAGCCGGTCCAGGACCACGGCCCAGCTCAGGCTCGGGGCCGGGGCTGACCTCGAGAAGAAGTTCCTGCAGGAGGCGGAACAGGCAGGCTTCAAGAGCCTGAAGGGACACCGGTGGGTTCGGCGGGAGGCACTCAAAACCAGCGTGGCAAAGCCGCTGTATCGCCGGTGACATTGGTCGGACATGAGTAGGGATTTAGTTTCCCATGTCGCTCAGTGGACGAGATGTGGGAGTGGGGGACGGTTTTTACGGTTTGGTTTCATTTTGCCCTGTTTTTTTCTTGTCGCAGGTTTGTAGACAGCGCCCGTTATACCTCCGCTTCTGTCACAAGGAGGCATACTGTGGCAACTGTAGGTCCGCAACTACAGCTATTACAATATTCGCCTTTCAGGTCTGTGGGTGGTATCCGCGTGGCGCTCTACAACGCGCTTACCGTTCCACAAATCGAGCGCCTGGTGGCGTTCATGGGCGCCTTCGCCGCCGACAACCGGCAATAGTCGCCGACAACCGGCAATAGGGGACAACCGGCAATAGTCGCCGACAACCTTTGCCGCCGACAACCGGCAATAGGGGACACCCCGCAGCGCCCGGTGCCGCTGTAAGCGACACACAAGCGGACGCAAGGCGCTGGGCCAGATTCCTGTCATCAGCAAGACAACCAAAAGGTTTGCGGTTTAATGGTTATACATGCGTGCTGTATTTCAATATGCCCGCCACATTTAAGCTGGCTGCGCCCTCACGGAGGGCAGATGCCTATGTATTCACTCCGAGGCCTGGTGTCTACTGTTTTTGGGGCAATTCTCTATTGTTTACGTGACATGTGCCATTGCTGAATAAAGGACAGCTATGGCAAAATTTTCACATTTCTGGGTGTGTGCTACCAGCCGCGTGGTTCACACTTGGCAGAGTGAAGACATTTCCAGCTGCCGCGGCCCCACGCACTGGCAAATCTTGTTTAGGGATTAAAACAACGCGTACACCGTAGAAAGTGTACTTACTTATACGACTAATGTTTGAGATCATTGACGGCGGCTAACTTCGGCGCACCCTGGGTCCCATCTGAATGGGTTTTCCCAATCGCCAGCGTCGTATGATTCACCGAGCGGGCTGGGCTGGAAGATCGATGGTGTTTCCTCGCCCACCGGAGGCCGAGGGCGCCAGCAAAGCACCTCCGCGTTTCCAGGCTGCCCTTAAATCATGATCACGAAGCAGGTAGTTATCTATGGTTGGGGGAGGGGGGGGGGGGGACACGTGCACGCCGCATGCGTTGCATTCTTCGACTTTAGTGTGAACCATAACAATCAGATGGATGACACCACGAACTGATCTGTCAGATTGCCAGTCATCCTCCCAATTCCATACGCAAAGGGTGGTCTGGTCAGACCACAGAGGTGGTCTGTTGACCACGTTCTGAAGGAGGTCGCCGAGAAGTTTCTAGCATAATGCATGGGTTCTCCGGAGGTCCGCACATTGGAGAATCCACGCACGAGATTCGTGTGCCGTGAATGATACTGGGTCGCTACCTCTCTACCCACGAGGTGGAGAGTTACAGACGCGGTGCATCCCACTCCATGTAAACAGGTCCGTGCTGGTCGTCCAAACGTTCTTGCTTGCCACTCGGCCTAATGCCGAAGTGAGTAGAGCGAATTGTTGTTTTGCGTCCACGCGATGCAAGCCGTCGTCGCCACAGACAGGAAAACCGAGGACTCGTTAACAGAGTACCTCAAAATGAGCCACCAGCTATGACATATACAGCATTGATGTATATTAATGAATGCAGTGATCTGACGTCAGCATTAATCGGGTATGACAAGATGTGTGTACGTTAACAAAACAGCTATGTCGTCCTATCGCGGCCATCCACGCCTTGCAGGGACGGCCGGCGGAAGCGCTGGGAACCACCATGACACTCCAGCTCGCAGCGACGGCTGCTGGTACACAGCCGAGCGCTCCAGCTGCCGGTGCACTGCTGCCGCTGCCGGTGCGACGGGCGGCGATCACTGTGTACGCGTTACACCGCCCGCCCACGGACGGGTAGCACCCCACCGCCGCCACCCCCGCCACGTGGAGCGCTCCGCTGCTGCGGCTTCCGTGGGCCCGCCGCAGGGCCAGCCCCACACTGGCTGCAGCCCGGTCCCGCGGCTCCCGCCACGTGGCGCGCTCTGCTGCTGCGGCTCCGGTGGGCCACTACAGGGCCAGCCCCCGACACTGAACACGCCCTGTTCCCGCGGACCCCGGCGCACTGGCCGCAGGACCCGTCGGTCGCCGCGGCGCCGGGGCCCGCTAGCTGTAGGCCTCCATGCTGCCGGTGTACTCGCAGATGTCGTCGTAGCCGAGCGTGCAGAGCTGCCGGTCGGGCAGCAGCTGGACGGTGGCCCGGCAGCGCCGCTGGTCCCGCTCGATCACCTCCCCCACCTGGTGAGCAGCGGGGCGCGCTACAGACGCCGCTCCCACGCTCCGGTCACACGCACGTCCGGCGTCAACGCTCGCATCATCCCCGCAAACCACGGCCACCGCTGGCGGCCGACGCCAGGGAGGCGCTGGGCCGGTCCGGGACTTGGCTAACCAGACGAGGGCAGGGCATAGCCACGGGAAGTATCCGATTTTTAACTATGTGATCCGCTACACCCTTCTTAATGTAGCATCCCGGCGCCAACTTTGCCCGCCCCTTCACTACTTAACATGCATCCATCTCGCTCGCTTCTGCCTTGCACCTACTTCCTCACCACCACCACACAATTCATTTCTCCGTCCCTGCGCCCGAGCCCGGCGCGCCCTGCGCCGGCGGTGCCCGTGCTCGCCGCCGCCGCGGCGTTACCTGCGCGCGGTGCTGGCCTCGCAGCACCATGACGTGGGCGGGCCGGTGGCGCGGCACGACCGTCTCCAGCCGGGCGGTGCTGACGTCCTCCAGCAGGCGGCCGGCGGCGTCCTCGCAGACGCACAGCTCACGCGTGATCACGTCCACCACCGTCAGCTGGCGGCGCACGCCGGCGTCACCGAACGGCGCCTGCACAACGGCCGGAGCGCGGGCACGGCACGGCCGCGGCGACGTAAACACGTCCACGGAGTCATATCATGTGGCGTCGATGGATGTCTAGTGAAGGAGCCGACGTGGCTCCCACGCCTAGCCAGAGGATCGGGAAGGGACAAAAGGTATCGCACATATATAGTTTATCATCGATATATATATATATATATATATATATATATATATATACCGTACAAGCATGTCGTATATCGCTGAACTACGTTTACCATATTGTACTCACACTAGGCGAGCAACAAGCTAGCCATTTTTAAGCCTTCTATTGGACAGGGCTCCCTCCACAGCAGCATCCCAACCAATATAAGGCTCCTAGATGGGCAACCAAGGTGGTGCCACCGCGGTCAATGGCACCCGACCGCCGGCCCGCAGCGGTGCCACCGCAGCCTCGCGCCGTGAAGCCACCCCCAGAGCGGCGGACTACCTTCTCCTTGAAGTAGCGCCCCTTCTTGTAGCTCTGGTCGATGCACCGCACGCGCAGCTGCGGCCGCACCCAGGGCGCGGTGTCCGCCGGGGCCGCGGCGCCGGCCGGCTTCTCCGACCTGGCGAGACAGGCGCCACGTCAGGGCGCGTCTGCGCCGAGGCGACAGCCGTCTTCCGGAGGAGCGTGCAGAGACGAGGCCGTGAGAGGGACCCGGAAGCGACGGGACACCGAAGCACACCCGGCACCACCTGTTGGCCCTGCCAGTAGCTGCCGCAGCGAGCCAGATAACACAACTTGATCTAGTGGTAATGGGGCGAGCCATTTACCAGTTCTTACAGGCAACACGCCTGAAAATACATGCTTTCAGCAAGAAACTGTCCCGGAAGACCACGGAATCCCTCACCGACTGCTGGCGTCCTTGGACCGGGCGTCCGTACGGCGTTTGGCAGAGTGTCCTCGGTCTCTGTCCTTGGAATGTCGAGACCCAGTCTCCGGCGCCACGCTTGCCTTATGCTCCTTTTCCTGCTTTTCGCGGTACTCGTTGTACTTGTCTTGGTCTGCAAGGACACCGAAGACTAGTTGGTCCACCATGGCACTAGATAAGATGGACACCAATAATACATCGCGGAATGTGTGCCTACAGAATCACGGTGACGGCGCGAGGCCTTGCGCAGACCAGTCATGCAGGCAACAAACGGTGACAAGAACGCATAGCCACTGCATGAAAAGGGAGGAACGGGCTTAGTGCCCACAACACGGAGGCATGCCTAAATCGACATCATTACCTAGCCTGTGCGATATTCCCAGTGAAACTGCGCCCTTGCAATACTAGAATCTTGTTTTCTATACACTTGCCCAGCTACCATTATCTGAGCATGGGACAGCCTACGCAGCTGGAAGTGAAGGTCGTCACCTGGGAGAAAAACGCGGTAACCTGCCACGCTAACAGGGGGACGCCGCAAAACGTGGCTCGTGGTATGAATGTCAATCACTACTGAAACATGTGAAGGCCGCGTGCACCCTCAACACTGTCGAGCAAACTCCAGTGCTGATAAGAGATGGCCAGATTTCACAAACACCATGGATTACAGCACACCTCAGCACCGCGGTACAAACGGCCAGAATTGGATCGGTACCTGCAACGAGACTCTGAGGCGGAAACTATGCTGGGTCAGCCCATGACATCTGCGGTACTACGAAATCATGGCTTGTGTTACATGCAATAAAAGCTGATGCCAGCGACGGCACCATACTCTCGAGCCGGTACCAGTTCCAGTGCACTGGTGCCAGCATCGTGCCAGTGCCGGGTATGAAGAGGGTGGCTGGATTTACGGCCGCCGCACGACCACGCCGAACGGCACGGCCACTCACTGAGGACCCGGCTGTTGCGCTTGTAGTCTTTCCTGGTGACCAGCTGGAGCGTGCTCTCGGGGAGACTGCTGGTGCTGCCCGACACGGCCATCTTGACGAGCGCCCTGCCCTCGCCGTCCAGACTGGCCACCTGGGGAGCCCACCGCCCGTTACCGCACGCGGTCACAGGCGAGACCAGGACCTGACGGTACATCACTTGGGCACCGCTATCCCACCGCCCGCTACCGCACGCGGTCACAGGCGAGACCAGGACCTGACGGTACATCACTTGGGCACCGCTATCTTCTAAACTGGAGCGGCCCGTCCGGGCCCGCCCGCCACGCCGTCTAGCATCGCAAGCATTGCTGCAACCGATCATCACAGCTTTTTGCGGGTTTCGGAAAAAGGAGTCAAATTATCTGTTGGACCGTATCGTGGTTAAGCTCCTTGCGCGCAGGGTGCACGATCGCGTATGACCTTTCTAGCACAATGCGATTTGAACAAAGCTGGCGCCACCGATAAATTAGCACGGACAACGCAAAACCTGCTTACTGCAAAAAAGCTGCACGACGTCAGCACGAATTTATCTCAGCAATTTTCGGCCCCAGGCGATTCCAGCAACTGGCCGGGAGGCGAACACTGACACCCTATTAAAAATGAACGATGATCCGTTGCAGCTTAAAACGAGGGACCACGCCAGGTATATTCGCCTGGCCCAGTCCCTCTGTTTGGCGTTCAGCACAGTGTGCCGTGCCCATTATCTTTCAACGTATTTGAGCTTTTCGCGACAACGTGACGTGTCACTATAAACGCAAGTAGTTCCAAATTCGTCAATTTGAACGACTCAGGCGGCCGGGCCCGTCTCATGGTCAGAGCCCGCAATCAGCTGCTAATGCCAGCCAGTGATAGTGAATGAGTGCGTAATACGGTGTACGGCAGGGAACTCCTCCTGTCACATCTTCACAACAAAACGGAGTACTTCTATGCATCGGAAATCACTATTCGTGTGTTCTTGATGGCATCTGACTGCCTTCACCTCGGTGATGGCATCCCCCGTAAGGTCATGACAAGTCAACCGCCACCTCGCTCATGCCACAAAACGCAACGTCTTACTAGTGCGGAATTATGTAACGACCCACCACGACATTGCGGAAAGTGCATTTGCAAAGACAGACCACAAGCCACCACCAGCCCTCAACGTCTACGGTGCTCACTAGCTGCCAATGTCTTCAGCTCCGCCCGAGCGAGCACGGCCCTGACGTACCTGACCGTAGCATCCCTTCTCCTTGCCGATGGTGACGACGACGAAGGCACCGGGTACCATCTGCAGCTCCTCCTCGCCGTCAGCCGGCTTGCTCGCCTGCGCCGTGGTCGTCGTGGCGCCCAGGCCCAGGCCTTTGGGTCGAACCACTGCCTCGAACGGCGCCACCGTCCTGCACGCCGGGGAACACGCCGGCCGATTACCGCCCGCCCCACGCGGGCGGGAGAGTGGCCCTGACGACGGCGATGGACAGCATGACAGAGTAAAGCGCACAGCCCGCCGTGGGACATACTTTTCGCGCTTCTCGTTCTCGATATCTTATTACAATGTAGGCTTAACATATGCGTCTCATAGACTTCACCTCGGCCACGTCTGACGGCAGGCTTGGACAAAGCTGCCCCACTCACTCTCCATTTTTCCCAGTGCCGTCGCCGTCCTTCCAGCCCATGCCCCTGAGCAGCGCTTTTCCGAACTCTGACACCGGCACATCGTGGTAGTCAGACAGCGTCGGCTGGAACGGAACGATACGTGCATGTTAGACATCTGCGTCCGGTCCTAGGTTATCAGGGCTAGGTGTGGGCTCCTTGAACACGGTGGGATTTGCATAGAGGAGCGGCCAACACGAAACGGGCAGGCTAGCTCTGTCGGGCCCGTAAGCGCTGGGAGCCTGACAGTGAATGTACACTTGACACGCTCTGATCTCCGCTCTTCAAGACAGCAGAGAACGTCCGCGACACACCACAGACGACGGTGAGTGCATGAGATACCTAAAACTAAACAGACAAACCGTACCGAACGCAGTTGATGAAACGAAGAACATTCAGAACATTAATTCCGTTACTAAGTGGTTGTCAGGGCCCGCGATGCTTTCAGCTATCATAAGTTTGTCATAATATACCCGACGGGTTTCCTAACGAGCTGCTGCAGATTTATTCCCGTATACTTTCTGCGGCTTTATAAGTCGAGCGCTATTAAAAAGTCGCATACATCACGGAACCCGCTCCGCTCACAAAACCGGACGATAACACTGGGAATAAATGGCTGAGACCTGCCACAAATGGTCATAGCGAATGCAATGGCTGCAATCAAACAAGAATTGCTGGCAAGAACAATCGATTTGTAAAATGCGCTAAGGCACATCAAGCATATAGCATGCACGTGGCAAAGTGAAGGAAATATAAATGTGCACTTACCACTTCGCCAATGGTCGCGCCCTGAACGAGGGCATTTGAATGAACCTCGATGTCTTCTACTTCTTTATTATCTGCGCCAGATTGAGCTCCATCTGCTGTCTCTGGAAGACATTGCAGAGTTTTCACCACAAACACACACAAGAAATGTGCTAAAAATAAAAATATCATTAACTCGGCAGAAACGTGCTTGGATGGGTCCAATTCCAGCGTGCTGTTTTCCAACTGTGCAAATAGGTATTGCAAAGGAATTCACCATAGGTGCAATCATGATGCTTGCAATCTGGCATATTTTTGGTCTGGAATGGAGAGAAATTTGCCATGAATGCAAAAGGTCTATGGAAAAGTACGTGAGAGGCAGAACACACTATCCATCAAACGGGGGGGGGGGGGGGGGGGGGGGCGGGGGGAGATTCACATCTCTATGGTCAGGGCATATCTTTATGACCTATTGTGGACGAAACCCAGCTCCGAATGTGTGTGTGTGGGGGAGGGGGAGGGGGGGGGAGGGTATGGAGCGAATGAGGAGAGGTGGAGGACTCTGCTCGCTCCTAACGAATGAAGCCGTTTGGGAGATAAGTAGGTGTCCTGGTTGCCATGAGTTCAGAGTCCCCCCCCCCCCTCATCTCATTCCTAATGTGACAGCGTGGGTGGGTTCGAGCCGCTCCGACCTCGCTTCTTGCCGCTGACTAGGGGGGGGGGAAGGGATGGTCATTGGCGCCGGTGGCAGCGGCCGCTCGAGGTCAGATGAGATCAGACGGCGGGGTGGACCACGCTGACACTGCCGCATGTTTAACGTTCGCCATAAATCACGCAGCTGAACAGAAAATTCGCATTCGGGTGGTGACACAGCTTAGCGTGAGCTCTGATTTCAGAGAGCCAACCAATCGAAAAATTCGGAGCAGGTGCAAAAGTTTTTTCCAGGTGCACAATGCCATCTGCTCAGCCCAGCCATACCACTTAACAAACAGTCCACCTAGTTCACTCAAAAGCAGTATTCGACATTTGTGTTGGGTTTTGAACTGAGATAGCCATTTTGAAGATCCTTCCGTGCAGTTCACAGCCCTGCTCCTTTTGAGGTGCTGGTTTCTGCTTCTGCTCCTGATTCCTGAGCTTTCCACCCGCAAACTTGAAGGCTATTTTGTGAAAATTATTTCAAGGTCACCCAGGCATACATGACGTCATAGCAAAGTAACACGAATGCTGCCATCTCCCAACCATCCAGTGCTCAACGCCAAGAAAGAAATATCATGGAGTCATTCGTGTCTGGTGTACGTCAGCACAATTTCTGGCATCGACGGAATTCAATTGGCCCTCAACCGACGTCATGCATGCAGCGCAACTTTCGAACACGAAACACGTTTTGTGCTATATCATGCTGGAATTTGGACAGTGCAGTGGCACGATCATGACGGAAATAAGGCTGGGAACCAAATGACTCCAGAATAGTGCCCCAGCCTTGTCTGTGAATGCAAGTTAACAACATCGAATCTCGGAAAAGTATGCAAGAACACCATGGGAAAGATCCAAAATCCGCGCACATAACGACACTCGCGTTCTACGAGCAACGTACCGATTAGCGCGACACCTCTCCAAACGTTTAAGTACCACAAGAGAGTCAGCTCGTCCGCCATGGTGGCAATTTCGCACGGCCAGTCTGGTATTCCCATAGTTAGTGGCATTCCAATGGTTACAAGTGATATATTTCATCATATTTGATGCTTGTCTGAATATCTTGTATTGTGAAACATTTCCTCCAAAGAGAGTGTTCCTAATTTTTTTCAGGTTTTGAGCTGAAATAGGCATTTTGAAGACCTTTTGGTGCAGTTCGTCACCCCGCCCATCTTAAGACCTAAACCCCTCTAGTTTATGAGCTACATAACCGAGAAAATAGGGACAGTTTTCTGGGGTGAGTCTTTCAAAGTCACATTGGAATTACTGGCGTCATAACAACGCCAATCAAATCCTACCACTGCATGACCCCAGCGGCGATCAAGGCCCATAAAAAACACAATGGTCGCGTCGTTCATATCTGGCGCTCGTGAGCACGATTTCCAGATATAACAACTGTCAATCGGCTGCCAATCAATTTTGAGCAGGGTGCGTTGACGCAATCAAACAACAGAAGAAAGAAACGCTGAAACATTCCCTTTACAGGGAATGTTCAGCTATGAGGATACTGAATCAGGCGTCAAAGGTGATGAAATAAGGTCACTTGAGCTATTGGTAAACTTTGAAATAGAAAAGGCTGCTCTGGACAATTTAGTTTCTTGGTTCCTTGGCCTTGTTTGCCACATGGCTTAAGCGATGGCAGGATTTGAGTGACGTTATTATGGTGTTATGGATGCCTAGGTGACCTTGAAATAGTCTCCCTGAAATAGTCTGCACATCTTTGTGGGCATATAGCTCAGAAACTGGAAGGGCTTAGGTCTTAAGAAGGGCAGGCTGTGATTGATCATCTGCACCAAATGATCCCAAGGTAGCTATTTCAATTCTAAATCCCATTCAAATGTGGAACATTCCCTTAAAGTTCTTCATGCATCTCAACAACATTTCTGCAGTGGAAGCAAAAGTGAATGATCAGGGAAACATTTTGGGCTCTCAGAAAACATTTGCCCCCCCCCCGCCCTATCATGCTAAATCTAGCCAGCTGTAGGCGCCTTGACCTTCCAGCCTTTTCACATCAACCCAACAGTACAATGAAACTCCCAAATTAGTCCAAAAACACAAACAACCAAAATTTACAGCTGCAAAAACTTCCCAAAACTTTGTTTGAAAAATTAAACCTTCAGGAGGCAACCCTCTAAATTTCATTATGTTCAATATGAGAAAAGGAACCTAAACTGGTATTACATTCATGCCATTATAATGAACTAAATAAAAATATTGCCTTTGACTCTACACATAACCTATGTTCAAAAGCTTCAATAACCAATATCATAGATCACTTTAGGATAGCATGGCTTAAAAATACCTTTCAGAAGTTCTTCTGCTGCTTTCATGTCAAGGCTTGTTTCTTCCAAGGACTTGGCATGGTCTATTTTGGCACTGTCCAAAGAGGATTTATTTTCTTCATTGTGGGCGGGGTTTGTCCTGGGCTTCTTGAGAGGAATCACCAAAATGGCAGCCTCTTTCCTCTTCCTTGTACTGAAATATGAAGTAAAAAATTGGGTTAGAAGGATAAGAAGATGGTTATAGCCATCTCCTAAGATCTGGGATGAATCAAGTGCAACAAAGTAAGTAACTTAATGCTTGCTTATCCTCAAATAACACTACTGAGGATAAAAGACAGCTAATACCAAGAAATGTGATGTAGGACAAGATGAAAGACATCGTTCACACTTCTCTCCAACAATCAAATCATACTCCAAGTATTTTTAAGATGTGCTGGAAGATCCTCTGGTGACATGTAGGGAATTATGGGCAATGAAATGTTTTGCTGTGTGTTTGCATTGCCATAGCATTAATGCTGTTTTCAGGGTTGACAGGAGCAGCTAGATGCTCTTCCTTTCCCCACTTCCCTCAACTCCCTTGTCCGTCCCGGTGGCTCAGTTGGTTACAGCGCCTGCCTTCCGATCCACCCACCCATGGCTGGGTGGGTTCGAGTCGCTTTAGGGCGCTCGCTATTTGCCCTTGACAGGTATGGCCTGCGGCCGGTGGCAGCGGTCGCGCTAAAGGTCAGTTGACGTCAGAGGGCAGGACGGACCGTGCCGAGCATTGCGGCACGTCAAGCTTTCGCCACTAAATTCTGCCCTTGCCTGGGATTGCGCGATCGGATGGTGGGGGTCAGAGCTCACGCAACAAGCACTGCTTAGCGTGAGCGCTGATCCCAGAAATCCATCCATTCAAAAGGGTTCGGATCAAATTTATAAAAAACTCTCCCCACAGTCTTGTAATAACTGTGTCACAATATTAATTTCTTAAGGGTATCATCAAGAAACTTGACTTCCTGGGTGCCCTGCGGCTTTTCAAAACTTTTGACCTCCTTATCAGTCCCTTGGTTACAAAAAACATTTTGGGAATATATTTTCCTTACAAGCACATACACTGAGTAAGCCATGGACTCAAGAGTTATCAATTCTCTACAGGATGGTTGAGGTTAATATGGGAAAGGAAGCTGGATGAAAGGAGATGATGGGGCACTTAAACAAGGATTTTCAATTTCAAACATGAAAGAAACAATTCCCAAGATCATAGACAAGCTGCCTGCACCAATCATACTCCCAAACATTCCACTGGCAAATCTCAAAGCTTTGAGTGATAGCAGACATCCACACATGTCAGCATTATTAATTTTGTTTCCTCAAAGACAGCAAGCTCACCTTTCAATGCCAGTGTCATCAACAGATTTAACAAACTCAACTTCTTCAACCTTTTCAGCTGAATTCAGTGGTGTTTGTAAAACATTTGACTTCTTTACAGTTTTTGCAAACTGAAATACCACTGGCTTGGGCTCCATGCCTGGCTTTAAACTTGAGGTGTAGTCCAGTGGCTAAGTACCCCAACCTGTCAAGAGAAGTTAGTTCACAACAAAACCAAATTACAGAAAATGCAAGGACATCTGTGCCTATAACACCTTGAGAAACTCCTAGCTAAATTACAAACATTTACGTGGAACTATCACCATACCATGCATACCAATATGCCTAACTCTTCATTAAAAAGCAGTTGTTGAGCTTTTAATAAAGCACAAATCATGTCTCCATGCATCAGCAAAATGATACACAATATTTGTGACCTGGGGAACACATCCAGCACAGCAGCAGCACCACAGCAACATTTTAAACACATGCATGCTTCAAATCCAAGCACTTGGAGCTTGGTGCATGATTGAGCTTGGTGCATGAGCATGAGCTTGGTGCATGATCACCACCAATGTGTCATGCATGCATAAAAAGCCTATGTTTCAAGGAGTCATGATGCTTTGAATGCCATTTCGGGCAAAAATACCCCCATTCCACACACAAGCAATACAACAATTAAGCCCATTTTAGCAAGGGTTGAGTTTGGCACACATGGGTTCAAGGTACCATTGCATTGACATTCAGGCAGTGGAAATATTTTTGCAAACTGGTCTACGCCACATGGCCTCCAGTAATAGTACAGGGGCTACAGCAATCGCATGGGGTCTAAGATCATGAGACACAGACGCAATGGGATCTTACGCGTGAACGGGCGACTCGACACTCAAAAACTACGTAACAATTCTTTATTACACCAATTCTGACGTAAAAGCCCTTACGTAAAACACAACGTACGGACTATCCCTAACACACACCTATACGCAGCCGCCGAGCATATCCGGCAAGCACACGGCTATCTCACGCTGACAAGCATACACGCGCCGTCAAACGTTTCACAAACGTCGTTTCAGAAAATGGCCTTGAGACAGATATGGGTGCATTGAGACGATCCAGTATGAAATATGGCAGCAACGGCGCATATTTCACGACCTACTCGTAGAACCCCATCTTAAAATGCTCTTTCACAGCCCCACGTCCTTCTAAATCTTGGGCATTTCTGTGCATAAAAAGTACATAAAAATGACATAATAGCCGGTCATCGATCATAATTTGTAAATCGGTAGCTTTTTTACCCCTGGTCCCAAGCGCAGCCAGAGATATGACCAGGCACTAGGCTAGGTGCTTACGCCGTGATTATGTCGGTCAATGCCGCGCAGGGCCAGCGGGACAGCGTGGCACGGTGATGATACTGCTTGCCGTCCATTGCCCGTCCGCCTGTTCCGTCGGCGTCGCCTTTTCAGACACCATGAGATAGTGTGCATTTACAGTGTACATTCAGACAGCCGACGGTTTCTCCAGTAGAGGCGTCTGCGCGGCATTCTAACGGATTAGGACCGACGTAAACGGACTGCCAACGCGACGCTGGTGCGATCCCTTTTTCCAATGTTGAGGTCATGGTCGCCAACCGATGTGCCAGCCGAAAGTTGGGACGGCGGTTACATTGGTCTGCCATGGCGCTGCCCAACTGCACCATACATCGACTCGATCAGTGCGTCGCACACGCCTGCAGAAAGCTGTCGCTGCGGTACGAGCGACGAATGCAAGGTGCTATGTCCGCCAGTGTTCCAGAAATGCTCCCCTGGTCGATTCGAGGCCCCTTGTTAAAGCAGGACACCTGTGAGGCGCTTAGGCCCCTGACCGATACAGGGGCCCCGTATTGTTGCAGGGAATATGGCCAATGTAAATGGGGGCCCGGACTTGTCCCTGCTTCGAAAACCTTCCCTGCTCCGTACCCAGACCGACACGGAGCCGACTGACCGGTAATGGTGATCTCTGGCCGAAACAGAGAGACGCACTGTATCAGGAGTTCCCAATCGGTACAAAGCTCCCTCTAGCTTACATTTGAGACCACGGCGTTGCGGACATGGGGGCGTCGTTAATGTGGCCTCCGACCAGCCTTTTGGACCCTTCAGCCTTCCAATAGGGTCCTTAATCTTTGGTCCTGAAGGGTCCTTCCACCCCTCTGCCGACCTCATCAAACAAACTTCGTGACCGACTCAGGGACACTAGCTGACCCATAACCCTCTGTTAGCGAATGCGGGGCCCTGACCGAAACGAGGGCGCCGACCATTGTCTCAGGGACCCAGACCAATTTAAATCGTGGCCCCTGCTCATGCATGGGAGATTGACCCCGATGGTTCAGGCTTACAGGGACACTCAGACCAACTGTTCGGTGTTGGCGGTCTCTGGCCGACCGAGACACCCATATTGCCTCAGGGTATCCTCAAACTGTGAAAGAGGCCCTCTGACTGATATTTTAGGCCACCACACTACGAGCCGTGATTCTTAAAGTGATCGTTTACAAGTGATTTGGCCCTTATGCCCTCCAACCGGGCCTCTGATCGTCGGTTCCGGTGGGCCGCCCGGGTCACCTTCGGGTCTCCTCAAACACTACCGCTGGCCGACTCTGGGTCCCTTAACAACACAGGGTCCCTTGTTAGGCACTGACTGGGCCCTAGCAGGCGCACGGCACCGACTCTATGTTACTGGAGGTATCTGACCGACACGTGGGCCCCAACCGACCGCCGAAGCTGAAGCCAGCTTTGTTCCCAAGACTTTTCCTATACAACATGACCCAAAATTTCCTGACATTGTAAATCGTATGTGAATGTCAATTGTAATCTAGGGCGCGTGCATAGCGCGGCACATTCGATCACTGCTACTTACGATATCACCGCTTCAATATCACCTGGTTCTAAAGAAATTTGAAAGCATTTTATGGTGAAAGGGAACTCTCTGCCAGCAAAAAAACTTAGGCAGTCCCAAAACGCGAATGTGACAAATGACAAGGGATTTAAAATTTGTAGCGAACTTGGGATAAGCCAAGTGCGACTTGAGCGTCTTTCCGTAACGATTGTTAGATATCTCGACACCAGGAGGAGTCTCATCCAATCGTCGTGAAACCCCATACAGGGGCTGCAGGTGTTGCTTTACAGGGGCTGCACGGAACGATGCCGGGTGGCGGGGGGGGGGGGGGGCGGGGGGCATATCCCGGGGCAGCACGGGCACCTAATGCACCCGCGTGGCTAAGGGCCTACGCATCAGATAGCTGCGTTTCCGGACCATAATTCCCTGTTTTAGAATTACGAGGGTCTTTGCTGGACTTAGTGGCCCCTTCGTGAATCAAACGGTCCTGATCTAAATCAGAAGGTCTCCCTATGCATCAGACAGCCTTTCTCTGAAGCAGAAAGCGTTGTTTTAGGATTCGGAGGCCCTTCGCTGGATAAAGAAGACACACGTATTTATCAGAAAACTCTCATTCTGGATCTTTAATGGCCGACATATCTTTACATGGACATTGATGCATGCAAAAGTTACGTAAGAGAGCACGTACAAACGGGCTCGGTTGTGTTTAAATCATGACTGTGTAAGTATTTGCAGTAAACTTATGCCCTGTACACGTTTTCCTAGCATGAGTTTGTCACGTAGCACTAAGGTGTGCAAACATTGGCAGCATATGTAATGTACCAATCTTGTCGGTAGGATGTTTTCCTGTAACACTTTTTTCGTAGCACTCTAACCGTCGTTGACAGCAAACTCAGCGGCTGCAACCAACTTTGGCTATGAATACGCGCCCGGGTAATCAGTTGAATACTCTTCGCTCGGATAGAGGTCAGTGTGACTCCCCTGATATCTAAAAAAAATAAGCGAGCTAGAGACACCAAACCAAATTCATGGGGTGAGTTGGCCAGTATGTGAACTCACTTGTGTCCAAATTTGAGGTCCATCGGTCACAATCTTCGGGTCAAATGAGGTCAAACAAGATCAAACTCAAGACTGGTGTCGAAAGTGTCCCAGACATTCTCACGCAACCGCTTTGAATCTAGATACCTGTTATGAGTAAATGGTCACTAGTGATTATTTTGGGTCAATGTCGTTGCTTGACCTTAAAAAGGCAATGGTGACAAAAAGCCTACGAGATTGTTGCCCACGACATTTCATTCTTGAATTTGAATAAGCCTGAAAAATTGCGTCAAGCTGTACGCTCCTGAAAATAAGTCTCTGTCTGCGTCATTTTAGGTCAGTGGCTTACTTTCATCTTAAAGAAGTCCATGGAAGATGCTCGTTGCAGTCTCTGTTATAAAAAAAATACGAAATGAGCGCCAAAAACTATTTTTCAAAGCAAGCTATTCAGTTAACAAGCGGATTAGCTTTCGTCTCTGACGTTTCATCTCTGACGTTGACACTGACGTTTATACGTGAACCTCGGCCAACTGAATTTGTGTTAACCCTAAGTTAAATTGTTCTTATGTCTACGAAACTATCTCAGAGACGCGTGACTTTGTCGAACACTCCGTTGTCGTATCATGTTGAGCAACCCCCTAGAAGTTGCATGCACTGAGCGCTCGCTGACTGCGATGCCTCCACATACTGCAAAGTCCCGACCAGTGCTGCTATTGTGCTGCCCTCTGGCCAGTCCGCGAGTAATTTTTGTGACCAGGCGTTGTGCGTCTGCTACGGTGCTGCCATCTTCCCAAGTGGCGTACGAGCTACGTGAACCGAAGCCAACTTTCGAGGCAGCTTATAGTTCCGCCACTTTTCGCTGGTGTGAGCATAGAATAGTTAGTCTGCAAAGAGCCTTGCACACGCGCGTGTATATTTAACATCATATCATAAGATGAACTTCTAGTCGGCCCAGCTGTCCAGTTTAGTGAACTAGCTGAAAATGCATGTCGACCAAGCACAAGCCTTTTTGGAGTTACCCGTGGCTCAACACAGCGGGTGGCGCCACCATGGCAGCCGTCTCCTTGTCATTCGTAAGTGGGGCGACCATATCGTCACACATCTTGAAATTTGAGGAGGCGCATTATGCACACAGGGGGGGGGGGGGGGGCTCAGATTTTCTGTTCATAGCATTCCACCAAATTAAAAATGAAGACCCCTGAGACACAGAGTGCACTCTGGTGGTCAACACGAGGCCTGAGATGATCTAAAAGAGCAGGAGTTAGATTCCTACCCAGTCGTGGGATCCAGCTCCCCCGCAACTTTCAGAGGAACGAGGATGCATTGCGGGGAACATCCTTTTTGTGTATTTCGGGAAGTGGTTTAGAGAATTTATCCTTCCCAGGGCGTCTAACTGATATTGCAAAGATGCTGCCTTGCAGAGGAAGTCCTGTCGGAAAGGGTATATATGCCGGTAGAAAGAAGGTGTGCGTCGTTTTCGTTTGGTTCTTCGCGGGCCTTGCGGCCCAGCGAGGAAAACTCTTTTATTTGGCAGCTTTGCAGCAGATTTCCTCCACCAGTAGCGTTTTTTATCTACCGGAATAAATGCAATGCAAAGGACACCGATGAAAACACCGGGGGCCTCGCCGGGCGGTCAGAAGGCCTCGAGCAGAAAGAGCAGAGGCCCCACCAGACCGAGAGCGTGTTTCAGCAAATCACAAAAGCGTAACCAATGCCCTGTTCCTTTTTAAATGTAAGCAAAATCCTACGCAAAATATCAAAACAAAGCAAAAATTAACTGAGCATGCCCGGGCCTGTCTAGAATGCCCATAGATCTACCTACCCTGTTGGAGAAACGTCGCTGGTGCCGCCCAAAATCAAACGCGTCGCAAAATAGCCTCGAAATGTGTGATGGGTACATGTTATGCACTTGCATAAACACATCGTAACACATTCCTCAGAATAGCCACATGCAGTATATCAGTAAGGTTAAATACAATATTTTCCCCGCAACACGACGAATCTGTATTTGCAATAAAATCTCGCCGTTGCAGAGGGTAGTCTAAGTCCAAGTGGAGTTTTCATGCCACCAGCGACGAGGTGACTGGTAGACCGAGCAGACTCCTCCGAAATCACCGTTTTC